CTTGTGAGGAGAGGCTGGTGGGTTTGAACCGTCAGCCTTCTGGTTAGCAGTCACATGCCTTAGGCACTGCGCCACCAGAGCTCCTATTTCAGTATCTTTTTTAACGATCGCCAGCGTCTGACACATGATAACCCCGTGTGTATCAGAGTCCACCTGCTCCACAGGCTCCCAGGGGTTGCTTTGTCAGAAGTAGATTGCCAGGCCTCTCTGCTGAGACGCCTCAGGGAAGACTGGAACCTTTTGGTCAGCAGCTGACTGAACACAGACCCTTTGCGCTACCCAAAACCAAAAAAACAAACCAAGTCTGCCTCACAGTGACCTGATGGGGCAGAGTAGAACTGCCCGCCACAGGACGTCCAAGGCTGTCTTCTTTACAGAAGCAGACCGTCTCATCTTTCTCCTGCAGGGCAGCTGGTGGGTTTGAACCGCCAACTTTTCAGTTAACAGCTGAGTTCTTAACCACTGCACCACCAGGGCTCCTTCCATATAGATCGAGCTACCCACTATTTCATCACTTAAACATACCATTATTCATTTAACCATTCCTCTACCAACAGACATGCAGGTGGCTTCCAATCTTTTATTAAAAACATTTCTGCAAAGAACATCATTGTACGTGAATCTCAGGATGTGTTTTTAGAATTGGAATTGCTGCAAAGTAGACGTTGTCTAACAAAGGTGTGCATTTGAAGGCTAAGGTGTGCCTGGCCCAAGCCATGGTATTTTCATGGCCTCATGTACATGTAAGAGCTGTACAATGAATAAAGACCACCACAGACGAATTGATGCTTTTGAGTTGTGGTGCTGGAAAAGAACACCGAATGTACCGTGGACTGCTAGGAAAATGACAAATCTGTCCTGGAGGAAGTACAACTGGAAGGGCCTTGGAAGCAAGAATGGCCATGTTTCGTCGCTAGTACTTTGGTCATTCTGTCAGAAGGGCCCAGCCCTGGAGAAGGATATCACGCTTGGTAAGATACAGGATTGGTTGAAAGGGGAAGACCTCTATGAGATGGACTGACAGTGGCTGTGCCAATGGGCTCAGGCAGAGCAGGGATTTCGAGGGGGGTGCAGGACTGGGCAGTTTCATTCTGTTGGACACAGGGTCGCTGTGAGTCAGAACCAATTCAATGGCACCCAACAATAACATCTGTTGTAAGTTACAATTGAAAACAAAAACCAAACTCACTGCCGTAGAGTCAGTTCCAACTCAACGACCCCTCCTCAGGTTTCCGAGGCAGTATCTCTATGGAAGTAGATTGCCCAGTCTTCTGGCTGGTGGGTTTGAACCACCAGCCTTCTCATTAGCAGTAAGAGCCTTAGACACTATAGATGCTGTCAAATTATTCCTCTAAAAAGACTGGACTAATAAATACTCCATAAGAGAGTGTGAGAGCACCATTTTTCCCACGCCCCTTTTCATCCTGACTCTTATCAGGCACAGTCTTTTGAATTCCTGCCAGTCTGTGGCAAATAACAGGATCTTAGTGCAGTTACAGGTCACCTTCTCTGATCCCTCGAGGGGCAGAACACATATGCTTTTTTCTGTGATGGCCCTGTCCACGTTCCCTGCCCATCTTCTCCTGTCTTTCTTTTGTAGGAATGCTTAAATCAGCAGGAAATTAACCTTTTGCCTACTGTGTGTGTTTCAAAAATGATCTTTCCCTCTGTCCTTGTCTTGTTTATTTCTGGGGTCTGTTGTCATTCCCAGTTTTTCTGCAGTGATTAATAATCAGGAAAATAACAAAGAATACAGATAATAAAGAATGATATAAGGTAGGGTTAAAGAGCTAGAGAAACAGGGCTACACATTGGAAAGAGGAGCCGGGATGGTGAATGACCAGACTCTAGGAAACAAGAATTACTCCAGTGAAACGAGAATCTTCCTGCCAGGTAAAGTGAAAAGAGAAACCCACTGATCAACAACATCCTCTTTGATGTCTGAGAAAAGGCACCACTACTCCGTGTCGTTAGTTACTCTGTGCTGTGTTAGCTACCGTCGACTTGGCCCCTGACTCAGGGTGACCCTACGCACAACAGAACAAAACGCTAACCGGTCCTGTGCTGTCCCCACGATCAGTTCTGGGTCGGACCATTACAAACTATAGGGGTTTTGTTGTCTAATTTTCAGAAGCAGATCACCAGGCTTCTTCCTAGTCTGTCTCAGTCTACAAGATAAGTATCAGAGCAACGCTCCAGCCTCCACTCCCAGACGAGTGGTGGCTGCACGTCAGGTGCGTAGGCCAGGAATCGAACCTGGGTCCCCTGTCTGGAAGGCAGGAGTTCTACCGCTGAACCACCCACGCCTCACTGGCATACACACTTTGTGCTAGCCCTGAACTCAAGGAGAAATGGTCCATGTGGGTCGTGATTCAACAGCATCAAGGCCTGTCCTTTGCAAGGTCAGAGGGCTCTTTGTAGGAATGCTTTTCCTTTGGTCACTGGTCGGGATGAAGGCGTATCATCAAGTCTTAACTCAGAAAGGGGGTCCCTGAGCGGTGATGCGTGTCACACTGTGCTACCAGAGTCCAGAAGACACTTTGTTATTAAAGCCGGAGAACAAGGACGACAGGGGGAGACCCGCTCAAGGTCATTGTGCACTCACAGCAGAGAGGCCTGGCCCTGCCACAGCCCTTTGTTTCCGAAGGCTCATCTTTGTCACTGAGAAGGGAGAGTCTGTCCCTTACCACAGGTATGAACACTTAAGTCACTTAAAACAAGCCCTATTTGGCTCACGAGTGTGTGGTCAGGAATTCTCAAGGACTCGGCTGATCAGTTCTTGCCTGAGGTTTCTCATACAGCTGTGGTTGGGTATCAGCTTGGTCTGCAATCAAAGTCTGATTATCCAGTAAACAAGTTAAGTATGGGTTTATATGTGCTAATTTATTCATCTGTAGTGAACAATTTCAATTAAAAAAAAAAAAAAAATTCTGCTTCTAGGTATGACTGGCATCTGTCTCCTTCCAAACCCCACCGTACCTTCCTCTTTTCAAATTTACAATTGCAACGGAGCACCCAGTAAGCTGGGGAAACACGGGCTTACTTGGGCTTACTTACTAATCTGTAGGGAACAGCTTCATGTATTTTTGACCACATCAGAAACTCATGTGAAACTGCTCACCACACACACAACAGCCTGTGTTCACCTTGATGATCAGGTAATTCACACCAGCTGCAGTCATAGAAGACCAGACCCTGGCTGGATGCCCAAGATGGCCCACCTGCCTAGCTTGTGTTAATTGCTGGCTGCCTCAGGGGCTCAGCTGACTGTGGACTGGAGCGCCCTCGTGTGGCTGCTTGAGCACGGTGGTCTCAATCACACCGGCCTTGCACCTGGATTCCTGATCCAGCGTCTCCCGGAACCAGGTGGAAGCTGCCTGGTCTTGTCCAGCCCACACAGTGCCATTTGCACCCCATTCTATTGGTGAGAAGCAAGTCAGCAAGGTCAGCCCACTTTCAAGGGGGAGGGACATAGACACCACCTCCTGACGGAAGGAGTGTCAAAGAATTTGCACATATGCTTTAGAACAGCCACCAAAAACCTTCCCATAAATGAGGCCAACTTAGAGGAAAGCACCTTTAGGCGACGGTGAGTGTCCCGTTTCATAGCTTGTGATCCTGGATCCAGCCGCGCCTGTAACGGCATATGATCCTGGATCCAGCCACACCCGCCACAGCACAGTCGGTTACTTAGGCCAACATACTTCTGTTTAAGCTGGTTTGAGCTGCATTTCTGTCACTTGCAACCCAAAAGCCCTGACAAATATAACAGATAGTGGACGTCTCACCTTTGGCCGCTCTGAGCTCGCTGGATGGTGCAAACAGTGCGTGCTCGGCTGCTCCCTGGAAGGTTGGCAGCTTGAACCCCCAGAGCTCCTTGCATCAGTCCGGCAGACAATGCCTCTTCAGAGCCTTCCTCTTCCATTCGGACAGTGGTGAAGAGGGAGCCCGGCCCAGGGTTTCTGTCCCAGCTCCTGCTCAGTGCTACTAATGGGCAGAGGCCCCAGGTGGGCACCGGTGGCTGGACTCAGTGTGGGGAAGGCTGAGCTCACTGCAGGGGAAATGAACAATGCTGGCGGGAGGGGCAGCACAAGGGTAAGGAGAAACGCCCTGGCAGGGAGGCGGCTGGGGGCGTTTTACGCGCAGTCTGTGCTCTTATTGCATTGTAACCCACCTCCGGTGTCCCCGCCCCTCAGGAAAAAGTCTCCCACACTCCACAGTGTGTTAGCATCCTTTATGGGTGGAAGGGGTCGGCACAGACGCCACTCCAACAGTTTCCCAAGAATCTTCATGACTGTTGTGGTGGTGCTTGGGTGCCACTGAATGTGGGGGACACACAGCCCTTCTGTTTGGCCACCCCACAAGTTAGGAGGACCTGGGACTAGAAAGAGGTTACAGGAGCTTGGCTTTGGAAGTGGAAACTGAGGCCCATGGAGGTTTGAGCAGCCCAGACTTTCTCGTTCTCACTGAGGGCTCCTTCCAGGACACTGTGCTGTCTCCAACTCAGGGCTCATCAAAGACCCTGAGCCACCCATCTGCTCCCAACAGAGGCTGGCACAAGCCCAGCGTGGCCCTGCCACTCGGTGGGCACCTGATGGAGAACAGACTCCCCTCCCATCTGCTCCGCCTCACTGGCCCCTCATTACACCGGACACCAGGCTGTTCTAATAGAAGCCAATCCTTCCTCATGCCTCTCCCAGCAGGGCCCACACCGCTTCTCCACCCCACAACCTGGCATGAGTCAGTAAATACCTGGTGATTAATAGCAGCACGGAGCCCACTGCCCGCCCTTGCCTCCACCCAAGCGGTGACTGGAGGCTCAAATCTTTGACATCCCGAGCCCCCTGGTACTTACTGATGACCACAAACAGCTGGGGCCTTGCCTGGGCCTCTCCTCCCTGTCTGTGAGCCAGGAGCCCAGGCCACTGCAGTAGGAGTGAAGACAACACTGGGGTGACCGGTATGTCCCCATCACCAGGTACAGCGGATGTGAAAAGGTCACGTTTCTCTTAAGGTTCAGACACTGGCTCTAAGTCGCCCCTCCAACATTATGAGAAAGGACACTGATCACTTGAGGCAAAAATTGCCAGTCTTTTGTCCTACAGAGACTCAGAAAGTGCTGAATCTCCAAGATGGGAGGTGTCAGCCTCCGGAAGCAGCCGGTGACTCCAACAAGCAGCTCCAGGGTGATGGAGACACGGAGACCAGGGATGCAGGTGAAAGTTGCGCCAACGGTGTTCTACGAAGCATGGGAGTGAAAGAGAACATTTCTGCTGAGATGCAAGTTCTGTGGTATTCAAATATGGCTCCAAAAATGAACACAATCTCTCAGCCATGAAGCGAAGGCCGATACACGCTAGGACATGGAGGAGCCTCAAAAACAGGCTGTGCCCAACAAGTCAGTTACAAAGGAACAAGCATTGTCCCATCCCCCCATCGGAAATGCCCAGCACAGGCAAATGCGTAGAGAACAGTTCATTAGTGGCTCCTGGGGCCAGGTGTGAGGGCAAGAGGGTGGCAGTGCTCAAGGGCACGGCGTTTGTTACAGGCGTGAAAATATCGGTGAGCGGACAGTGGTGATGCACAAGGTGGTGAATGGAATTAATGCCAGGGAACTGTACACGTGAAAGGGGTTGGAATGGCAAATGGTTTTATACACACAACCACCACGGAGGAGCCCTGGGGGTGCAACACGCGCTGTGCTACTAACTGAAAGGGTGGGCAGAGTTCCAACCAGGGAGAAAGCCCTGACCACCTGCTTCCTTTCCTAGGAAACCCGAGACGGCGGGTCTACTCTGTCCCGAGGGGATGCTAGGAGTCACTGTCACCTGATGACACCCAACAACAAGAGCCCAGGTAGCACAGTGGTTAAGGGCTCCACTGCTCACCAGAAGGTGGGTGCTTTGACCCCACCAGCTGCTCCGTGGGAGAAGAATGTGGCAGTCTGCTTCTGTGAAGATTGACAGCTTTGGAAACCCTACTGAGCCGTTCTAGGCTGTCACACGGAGGTGCTATGAGCTGGAGTCCACTTGACCGCAGTCCACACTGACAACATACAGTAACTACTGCATGAGACGTTTAACAATTGCATGCACAGCCCTATAGTTTACATTCAGGGTGGATCACCTTGGGAAAGTATTTCTGTTGTGTGTGTATTTTCTGCACGGCCAGGTGGTGGTCGGTGCCTCATTGGCTGGGTGGCCTTGTTTGAGCATGTATACTGTGTGCCCTTGGTCCCTGGAGATGCCCAGGTCCGGGCAGGCGGGGCAAATCCAGGATCTTGTCATCGATGCCCCAGGTCTCCGCCATAGCCAGTGACCCAAGGATGCCAGGCTCAGGACCCCTGCCCCAAACGCAGGAGGGGACGGTGGGGGCGCAGGGCGAGTGGAGGCGTCACCTGGAGGAGGTGGCAGGTAAAGATGGGTGCCAGCATCTAGCTGCTCAGAAACCCTTTGGCGACTGTAAGCCGCTCCGTCCCCTGAACAGAGCCCCTTTCTCCCTAGAATTAACTCAGCTACTTTCTCTTGCTGGCAACAAAGAGAACCCTCCTGTTAGCGAGATGACGTTCTACTCCCGAAGAGAAAGGCTGGCTAAACAGAGACCGGAGACGGCAACTGGGGTTGGAGGAAGGGCCTGGACAGGCTGCCGGGCAGGGTGTGTGCGCATGCGCGCTTACGTATACGCGGTTCTTGGTGTAAGAAGCGAGTTGCCATGGAGTCCAGTCCCACTCGTGGTGCCCCGGACGTAGCAGAGCATCATTGTCTTCCTTCCTAGTCCATCTTAGTCTGGAAGCTCCGTGAAAACTGTTCCGCATCACAACAACACGCCCGCCTGCACTGACAGCGGGATGGTGGCTACGCTTGAGGCGTGCTGGCCCGGCTTGGAACCCGGCTCCCTAACGGAAGGCGAGGATTCGTTTGTGGAATGAATGACCGCCTTCACCTGCGCACTCATTTGCTCTCTTGCATTATCCCAGCGCGGCAGGGCCAAACGACGCGCAAGGAGACTTGATTTCACAGCCGAGACAGCCGTGAGCACACCCTCCGCGCGCGGGAGGGGAGACGGAGGGCTTGGGCGCAGAGCGTGCGGCGTCTCACCTGGTGCACACCCCGGCCGACCCGCGGGGCGGCGCTGTGGCTGCCGCACTGACTGCTGGAACCTGGCGCTCTGGCGCGGGAGCGTGGATTCCTCGGGCTCGGGGCTGCCTGGGCGGGCTCTGACGCCGGCGACTTGGCGCCTGTCCTCGAAATCCTGTGTTTGCCCCAATTCTGGTAAATGTCAGTTTTATTACCCGCAACAACACAAA